GGTGGCTTATGAGTTGCTGTGATTCTGAAAGCTATGCCACCAGTATTTTAAATACCAGCAGGGTCACCCATTATGGACAGGTTTCAGGTGAGCTTCCGGATGAAGACAGACTAGGTAGAAGTAGTGACAAAATACTTCCGAATACTTAGTCACTGAAAACCTTATGAATAGCAGAGAAACACTAGCCATTAGATAGATGCATATCAAAACAACAATGAGATATCATCTCACACCAGCAATAATAGCAAAGATCAAAAAAGTAGGGGACAATAAAAGCTGACAAGGATGCAGAGACTGGGATTCTCCTACATTGTCGGTGGTATTGCAAAATTGTCCAACCACTCTGGAAAGCAATATGGCACTTCCTCAGAAGGTTGGAAATACAAATACCTTATGATCCAGCAATTTCCTACTTGGTATTTACCCGCAAGAAATGTGAGCCATAACACAAGTAGATATATGCACACCAATCTTCATATCAGCACTATTTACAATAGCAAAAAGATGGAGACAGCCTAAGTGCCCATCAATGAAGAATGGATAATCAAACTTTGGTACATACACACATGGAATATTATGCTACCTTGAAGAATAACAAGGAAGCTGCAAGCCACCATATAACATGTATGAACCTTTAGGACATTATGCTGAGTGAACTTAGTCAGTCACAAAAGGAGAAACACTGCATAGGACTATTATTGTAAAAGATTAAGAAAAAGAACTCACACTAAAAGGGAGGAAAAAAAATTTATTTGCTGGTTACCAGATGTATGGGTAGGTTGAGGGGAGGGAGGGGAAGGTGGAGCACAGGGTAGGGAATACACACAGGATAGCTTGGGAGCTGGGGACAGGGGGAACAATATACAAGAAGTGGGAGGGGAATGGAAGAACAAGGCCGATGGGAGAACAGTTTGCATGGACCAAGTGGGACAGAGGCAAATAATGATGTATGCCCAACCTTGGAACAACAGGTCTCTGGAATACAGGGATTGAGGCATGGTTGGAATGGAGAAAAGAGGGGAAATAATGTTTAGATACTTGGCTGTCTTGAATCTTGGATTCCCTTGCCTACCATTGTAAAATAGACACTTGACGGGGAGAGAAAGGAATAGTCAGAAACATCACCATAGAAAGCCTCGAAGTTTGTCTTCAGCCTTTAATTGACTGGAATACCTAAAATGGGGTTGCAACTTGTGCAGGGAAGGAGGATTACTGCGGAGTCTTTGCATTGCATAAGACCATAGGTGGAATCCTGAACCTCATCCAGAATCTTCAGAAGTGGGAAATTTCCACTTGAAAGGACAAGCAGACCAACCTGAAGTAGGTAGAAGAACAGAAAATATTTCTTAAAAGAAAGATCAGCAGGAAAAATCAAATACAATAATGGCAGTCCAATTGATGACTACAAGAACAGGCAAGCTATTTGACCAGGAACCATCAAGGCATGTGGTTAGGTCCCCTCAGGGCAAACTCCCTTCCAAGACTAAGACTAAAGGGTAATACACGAGTAGGCATATGGTCTGATTGGTCAATGATAAGGGGAATTGGGGGAAAACAGCAATGAAGTTCAATAGACTCCTGTGAATCCGGATTGAGACCTAGTTGGCAAGCAACATGGCAAGACCTGGGGACTCCTTGGCCCAGAGACAGGGACATGGCCACAGAGGACTAAAGTGGAGAGTGAACTGTCCAGCTGATATAAAGTGAGGGGAGATGCACAAGAACACACATACTTGCAGATAATACCCACTTGACCTGGCTTCAATGAATGGATGATCAGAACTCAACTAGAAGAAGAAAGAAGAGGAAAAAAAGAGTAATCTGCTACAATTTGATGAACTTGACCTATACTTATGGATGTAGTAGCTCAAAAGAGGAAACAAATCTTAACAGTGAGGATCATTCCTACCCCCTTGGTACACAGGGTTGATGGGGATGGGCAACTTAGACATTGGCTACCCAAAATTTCAGGGGAGGGGCTACAAAGGCAAGAAGTGACTGGCTTACAAGCTTTCAAGAGGGGGCCTAGCTCCAGAGGGGGTGGGGGAAGGTAGAATCTCCACTGAGTGGTTTCCAATCTGCCTAGATGGGCGATGAAAGGAGATGGGGATAAGACTTCTGTGGTACAATAGTGAATAATTGCTATCAGGACTGACTGTGCAGGTTGAAAATGTAAAGGTAGATGTTTTATAACAAAAGGAGGGGAGTGGTTGATTTTGCAGTCCAGGAGCAGAGGTCCCTGGGACCATCAAGAGAGAGGAGTGGAGTGCGGGACCCTACTCAGAGAAGCAGTAACGCCAGAAATGGAGGCAGAGGTGATGACATGGAGAGATGGAGCAGCTGGGGACTTTGGACTCAGGGAGGGAGAGAGGCTGTGTGCTGGCAGCCGGGGAGCAGGCTTGAAGGGTGTACCCTTTGGTTGTTCAATGATGCATGGAGGGGAATGTAATCATTGCAATGAAATGAAATACGATAGGATGGATGTAAAGCTAATATTTTTTTTAATGTAGAAGGAATAGAATAACTAAGTAACAATAAAGATTAGACAAGAACATACTGAATTATAGTCAAGTTTTGAATTTATTTAATTCTTGCAGTACTTTCAAATCTTTTTTTTTTACCTTGACTCATAACACAAATATATTTTCTATTACTATCCAGCACAAACTGATACATACAAATGTAACCACAAGTTTTACAAGCCAATACTTACAACACTCTCAAAATATTTTTATTCTATTTTACTATCTTCTATTAACTCTCATTTAAAAATGCTCATTGTGAAGTCACTATGCTGATTTCACAACCACCTAATTAACTGTGATCTGGAGTTGAGAAAACATTGCTTTATATAATTGCAATGCATTTTCCAAAGTTCATAAATGTAAAGTCTTATAAGAAATACAATTGGAAGGAACCTGGAAATGTTTAGTATACTCCTTTTCTAGTACATTAATACACTCTACCATCTGTCCCCCAAGTGGTCATTCTCTCCCACTTGAATACCTCTTGTGTTGTTATCAGGTGCCATCAAGTTGATTCCAACTTATAACAGCAGTTTTATGCACAACAGAAAGAAACATGGCCCCAGCCTGCACCATCCTCACAATTGTTAAGCTTTAGTCCACTGTTGTTGCTACTGTCCCAATCTGTTCCCTCCTGATAATGGGTCTGAAGTATGAAAGACAAAGTTTGACCATCTTGGCTTCAAAGGCTGTACTTCTTCCAATACAGATCTGTTTGTATTTGGGGCAGTACATGGTATTTTAATATTCTCTTCCAACACCATAACATAAATGCATCAATTCTTCTGTCTTCCTTATTCATTGTCCAGCTTCCACATGCATCAAGTTGTTGTTGTTGTTGTTGTTAAGTGCCATCGAGTTGGTTCCAACCCATAGCGACCCTGTCTACGGTTTCTAAGGAGCAGCTGGTGAGCTTGAACTGCTGATCTTGCAGTTCAAATGGCTTTGCAGTCTGGCACATTAACCCATAGCGCCACATAAGGACTCCAAGTTGGTGTTAGGTGCCATCAAGTCAGTTACAACTCATAGTGACACCTGGACAACAAAATGCAACATTACCCAATCTTGCCCCATCCTCACAATTGTTGTTTAATTTGAGACCATTGTTGCAGCCACTGTTGTTGTTGTTGTTAAGTGCCGTCGAGTCGGTTCCGACCCATAGCGACCCTGTACAGGGTTTCTGAGGATGTAAATCTTTACGGGAGTAGAAAGCCTCATCTTTCTCCCGCAGAGCGGCTGGTAGTTTCGAACTACTGACCTTAAGGTTCGCAGCCTGATTCGTAGCCACTACGCTATGTCAGTCTATATCATTGAGGGTCTTCCTCTTTTTACTGACCCTCTACTTTATAACCATGATGACCTTCTCCAGGGACTGGTCCCTCCTAGTAACATGCCTAAAGTTCATGAGACAAAGTGCTGCCATCTTTCTAAGGAGCTTTGTTCATTCTTCTGGCAATTCATAGTATATCCAATATTCTTCTTCAATATCATAATTCAAATGCATCAATATTTTTCTGGTTTTTCTTATTCATTGCCCACCTTTCACATGCATATGAGTCAATTAAAAAGACCATGGCTTGGCTTCAGGCACACCTTAGTCCTCCGCAAAGTGACCAAAACCAACAAACCAAACCCGCTGCCATCGAGTTGATTCTAATTCATAGTGACTCTCTCAGACAGAGTAGCACTTCCCACTTTGGGTTTCTGAATCTTAACAAGAGCAGACAGCCTTATCTTTCTCCCATGGAGCAACTAGGAGGTTTGAACTGCTGACCTTGTGGTTAGCAGCCCAACGGGTAACATATTCTTGACTTTTTAAAAAACTCTTTGTAAAGAATTTTTTCTCAGCAGATTTGACTGTTGCTTCTCTAGGCATTGATTGTGAATCCTTGACAACTTCAACCTTTAATCTGCTTATTGTGACGTTGATTATTGGTCCAGTTGTGAGAAATTTTGCTTTCTTTATGTTGAGGTGTAATCCATACTGATGGGTGTAATCTTTGATCTTCATCAGCAAGTGCTTCAAGTTCTCTTTCAGCAAACATGGCCCTGTCATCTGCATATCACAGGTTGTTAATAAGTCTTTCTGCAATTCTGATGCTATGTTTTTCTTTGTAGAGTCCACCTTCTTGGATCATTTGCTCAGAATACATATTGAATAAGTATGCTGAAAGCAGGATACAATACTGACACACATTTTTCCTGATTTTAAAGCAAGAAATATCTGTTGGTTCTGTTAGACTGACTGCCTCTTGGTTTTAAAAAGTAGCAAGGTGAATCCAATTGAACAAAAAAGTAAATAGAGATTTTTAAGAACAGGATCAGTCAGGGTCAATATCTGGGAATCTCACCTATTCAAATGGATTCTGTCCTTCATTCTGTACCCCTAAATTAGGAGCTGGCTGTACAAATTTTATAAAACTACAAACCATATTATGAGTTATGCAGTAATGAAGCTATATCAATTTATCTTACCTGTTAGCAGCGAACTTGTTTGAAATGAAACCACCTGGAATCTGTGTCATAATATAACCCCAGAAAAAAGATCCATGGATAAGGCCCACTGTCTCTGGATCCCAGTTAAACTGTGCTATCTGGAAATAAGAAAGCAGAGAGAGTTTTGTTTGGAAACAATAATAATATTAACTCTAGTTATCACTGATTCTACACAAAACCCCACCAGACCCTTCTTCCCTTCCTTTATTCAACAAGTATTTATGCAGGTCCCACCACCATCTGTCAGTTTGTCATACTATGGTGACTTGCATGTTGCTATGATGCTGGAAGCTTTGCCATCAGAGTTTCAAATAAAAGTAGGGTCACCCATGACCGATGGGTTTCAGCAGAGCTTCCAGACTAAACCAAACTGGGAAGAAAGGCCTGATTATCTACCTTCCAAGTTATGGATTATAACAGAATATCGTCCAACATGATTTTGGAAAGTGAGTCCCCAAGGTTAGAAGGCATGACATAATAACCACAGCAATAGATTCAAACATATCACCGTTCATGAAGATGGCACAGGACTAAGCAACTAAGGTACAGAAAGTCACCATTTCAGCATGGAGAACAGATGCCTGGGACCCAACAACAGCACTGTTTTCTGGGGATACAGCAGTAAACAAAGCTAAGGCCCTGCCCTCATGGAGCTGCTATTTCCAGTGGAAGACAGTAGAGAATAATGATGAGTGCATGGGAGAAAATAAAACCACATGACCTGAAAACAAAACATAAATTCTAGGTTTACTAGGCTATCCAGATAACAGTTCAATCCGAAAGCATGAAGGGAATCCAATCTAAAGTCTCTCAGGATATTAAAATTATTCTTACCTACCCATAGGACATGTGAGGTTAAAACAGAATGAACAGTTCTAGCAGATAATCCCTCTGCTTAAAGTCTGTGTGCAACACAGTATCACAGGGCATGGAACATAAATGTCAGCAACTATTATTTTGTTATTGTAATAATAACAGCAACAACAACACACTCTTGCAAATCTTGGGCCACTGAAAATGTGAATCTCTAGGCTGAGGTCTCCTTTCTCCCTCAGCAAGATAGCTCATTCTCTTCTGATGCATTACAAATATTCTTTCCTCTGAGGAACATCCCAACATGCCTGCCCCCATAGACCTCTGTTTTACAGCTCTGGTGCCCACAGTGCTGAGCAGCAAGCTGCTCTAAGGTAGGAGCTGTGTCTTGTTTACCTCAATAGGTAGCTAAAAGAAATTCCTGGAACACAGAAGGTATAGTTGCTGAATGAATAAATGAATGGCTTTTTAAAGCAGTAATATGAAAATACAAGGTATTTCTACTATTGATAAATTTTTATTATCAATATAGTATGTGTTATCACAGAGTTCTGGTGTGTTGCTGTAGTATAACCACAAGGTTAGCAGTTCAAACCCACCAGCCGCTCCCTGGAAACAGTCTCTATGAGTTGGAACCAACTTGACAATAAACAACAAAAATGTGTTGTCACAGTGATTCTCCTTACACAAATTGTTATGCATTCATTTGTGTGCCAGATCAGAGGATGTAAACACATGGTCAAATGAAAAATCATCTTGTCTTGAAGATCACAGTCCCAGTAGTACTGGCCAGGACGCTACTGTAGTTCCCATTTTCTAATTTTACAGATTAGGAAATTGAAGCTCAAAAGCAAAAAGGAGACCTACACATTTGGATGCAGTAGCTCAAAAGTGGGAACAAATCTTTACAGTGAGGATCATTCCCACCCCCTCCACACACAGAGTGGACAGGGATGGGCAACTTGGACACTGGCTACCCGATATGAGGGGTGGGGGGCCTACAAAGGCAAGAAGTGACTGGCTTACAAGCTTTCAAGAGGGAATCTAGATCCAGAGGGCCTGGAGGAAGGTAGAATCTCCACTGAGTAGTATCCAATCTGTCTGGGTGGGGCTGATGAAAGGAGATGGGAATAGGTCTCTTGTGATACTAGAGTGAATAATTGATATCAGAACAGATTGTGAGGGTAGGAAATGTAAAGGTAGACATTTTGTAGCAAAAGGAGTGGAGTGACTGACTTTGCAGTCAAGGAGCAGAGGTTTCTGGGACCATCAAGGGAGAAGAGCGGAGAGTGGGACCCTACCCAGAGAAGCAGTGACACCAGAGATGGAGGCAGAGATGATGATGTGGAGAGATGGAGCAGCTGGGGACTTTAGACCCAGAGAGGGAGAGAGGCTGTGTGCTGACAACTGGGGAGCAGGCTTGTAGAGTATACCCTTTGATTAGTTGATGATGCATGGAGGGAATTGTAACCATGGCAATGAAATTATATACAATAGGATGAATGTAAATAATGTTCTCCACGTAAACTATCATATAATTCACAGTAAAACATTTTTTTAAAAAAAGCAAAAAGGAGCCCCCAGTCATTAATTCACATCAGCTTACACATTTTTATGCTGTGCTTATTATGTGTCTCCTATCCTTCCAGGCCCTGGGATACAACAGTGAACACAAGTAGCAATTCCTGTCTTCATGAAGATTCCACTGGGGATGACGGGTGGTAACAATAACAATAATAAGCAAGCATATACCGTGTCAGATGCCAGTGATGAGAAGAAAAATGAAAGCAGGGAAGAGGATATGACGGTGTTGGCGGAAGGCAAGGTAAGGTAGGATGAAATTTGAACTAGAATGGTCTGGGAAGGTGATTTTTGAGTGAAGAACTGAAGAAAGAAAAGGAATAAGCAAGTGCAAAGGCCCTGAGGTAGGAATGTGCCTTGTGATTTAGTCAAACAGCAGGATGTCAGTTTACTTAGCTGGAGGGTAGTGAGTAATGGAGAGAGAATAAGAATTACAGTAAGAGAAATGATGAGAGGTGATGAGGTATCCAGTTAGGTAAGGGACCTGTACTTCATCTTATTCCAAGAGAGAGGCAAATCATTTGAAGTTCTGAGTAGAAAAGGGACACAATTGTATTATTTCCAATTATTTCCTCCTTTCATAGTGCTGGTGGCATAGTGGGTTAGCATTTGGCTAGTAATCACAAGGTCAACAATTCGAATCCACTAACTGCTCTATGGGAAAAAGATGAGGCTTTCTGTTTCTGGAAAGATTTACACTCTGGGAAATTCTATACCTGGTCACCATGAGTCAGAACCAACTTGACAGCATGCAGCAACATTTCCTTCTTTAATCCTCCCAATACTTTCAGGTACTTAATGTAAATGATCCAGTTATTCTACCCAGCAGCCCTTTTATCTTCATTTCACAATAAGGACATTCAGAGTTAGCAAAGAACTGTTAGAAATGCCAGCTCCTGCTGCCTTGCTCACAATTTCTCCCCGGCCACAGTCCCTGCTGCCTTTTTTTTCTCACCCTCAAGGACTGGAAATCTACATTGAGAGAGTCAAGCAGAAGACTGGACACAATCAAGCAACCTCTCTCTCTCTCTTCTCACCTATTCCTAGAGATTCTAGTTGGACAATAGTGAGAGCACTTGAATGTGGCATGGAGTCATGGCCAAGCCAATCAGCTTTCTGGAAAGGCAAAGTCTCCAGGAACATAAGCTTTGGAGGGCAGTGAGACACCCTGGGAAAGAAAAGAAAACACTCTGTGGAGAAGCATGAGGAAGTGGAACCAATATAGATATAGTAGATGACAGACCTTAGTTAAGGGCTGTCTAATTCCCAGGTGGTCTAGCTCAACTCCACAAAGTCTCTGGTTCTCCATTGGAAAAATGCCTGTTGTTGTTATTAAGTGCTATCAAGTTGATTTCAACCCATAACGATCCTGTATAGGGTTTTCTAGGAGCAACTGGTGAGTTTGAATCACTGATCTTGTGGTTCAAACCAACTTTGCAGCCCAGAGCATTAACTCACAGTGCCATTCTTGTTGTTGTTGTCAAGTTCAAGTCGATTCCGACCCATAGTGACCCTGTACAGGGTTTCCAAGGAGCAGCTGGTGAGCTTAACCCACCGACCTTGCAGTTCAAATGGCTCTGTAGTCTGGTGCATTAACCCACAGCACCATACCAGAACTGCCATTGGTGATGTCAAATTGGTTCCAACTCATAGTGACCCTATATACCACAGAACAAAACACTGCCTGGTCCTGCGCCATCCTCACAATTGTTGTTACACTTGAGCTCATTGCTGCTGCCACTGTGTCAATACATCTCATTGGGGGTCTTCCTCTTGTTTGCTGACCCTCTGCTTTACCAAGCACGATGTCCTTCTCCAGGGACTGGTCCCTCCTAATATGATGTCCGATGCAAGAGAGACGAAGTCTCACTATCCTGGCTTAGGAACACTCTGGCTGTACTTCTTCCAACACAGATTTGTTAGCTCTTCTCTCAGTCCATGATACGTTCAGTATTCTCTGCCAACACCTACTCTTCACTTATCTACTATCTCATTATCTGGCATTTTGCATTTACAACAATAGTTAAAATTCTACAATCCTAATAGATCCATTTTGGAAGAAGTGCCAGAGTACTCCTTAGAGGCCAAGATGGCCAAACTTCATCTCTCATACTTAGATTGTCAGGAGGGATCAGTCGCTGGAGAAGGATATTATGTTTGGTAAGGTGGAGGGTCAGAGAAAAAGAGGAAAACCCCCAACGAGATGGATTGACCAAGTGGCAGCATTGATGGACTCAAGAGTGGCAACAGTCGGAACCGACTCCACGGCACATAACAACAACAACAACATTTGAAAAACCTACCCATTTGTACTATCTACCTCTCTCTTCTTTTGAAAAGAGGAATTTAGAAATACAGCAGTAGACACTATCTAGTTTCTGCCTCATACAACAAATCCACCCTATAATATGTTGTTGTTGTTATGTGCCGTGGAGTCGGTTCTAACTCATAACGACCCTGTACAGGGTTTCTGAGGCTGTAAATCTTTACGGGAGCAGAAAGCCTCATCTTTCTCCCGTGCAACAGCTGGTAGTTTCGAATTGCTGACCTTGCGGTTCGCAACCCGATTCATAACCACTATACTACCAGAGCTCCCAATAATATACATGCAGATAATGGTGGTAGTGGTTGTGTGGTCTCAAGTTGGTTCTGACTCACAGAGACCCTGTATAGGGCTCCTGAGGTTATAAATCCTTACAAGAGCAGAAAGCCTCATCTTTCTCCCAAAGAGCAGCAGGTGGATTTGAATTAATAACCTGCGGTTAGCAGCCCAATTTGTAACCCACCACACCACCAGAGCTCCATATACACATGCATAAACAAACAAAAATCGTAGCCATTCCAAGCCTTTCCCAATTAGTGAAATCTTTGTCATCAGGTCGAACACACTCAGCTGATCTCTGAGCCATGTTCTATTAGGACAAGAGAGAAATGATCTTCTATAAATTCAAGTTAGGCTAGAATTTCTGAAATGCTACTAAACTCCTCATCTTGAGACTAGAGAAAAATGATGGAAAACATATTTTAGATCTTAATCAATTTCTCTAGACTCCAGAAAGCAAAACCATGGAAACTCAAGAACACACACTAGCATTGTTCCTTGGGTTTATCAACATGTCTTTTCCATATGCCTCAAAGCAGATTCTATTGACCCAGGCCTATCTTTTCAGGCAACAAACAAATGCAAAACATCATCTCATTTAGATCTGGGCCTCAGCAGACACGTTTTAATAAGTTGGCCTTGCTCACAAAAGGCTGAAAGAATACAGCTGATACGCATCTGAAACCCTGCTAATATACATCATTCCTTATTTTTAAAATGCATGACACCCCACCCCCGCCCCACTACCCCACTCCCCCCCACCCCACACACACACAAACTAGGATGTTCTTTTAGAGCAGATTCAGCTGCGACATCAAACAGACAAGTTAGTAGAATCTCCATGGTGTTATTTTCCTGTAGCAGAATAATCTCTTAGCCTAAAAAACAAAGCCTGCAGGCCAACGAGACTTCTTTTCAATGGATTCAAATAAAATTCTCCTAAACCAGCTCTTGGCAGGAGACTGTTCCAGGTGATGCATTTTGAAAGAAAGTGTTTGGTGATGAGGTAAGTCCAGGAAACACCTGCTTGCCACATCCCCCTCTTGGAGAGTTGAAGGAGACAGCAAAGTAAAGGTTCTGAGGAAAGACTCCCATTGAATCATACAGCACCGTCTTCCTAGCACAGCCCAGTGAGTTTGGAAAACTCTGATGTTTCTCCAAATATAGGTGAGGATCAGAAAATAAAGATATCTCTCTGCAAGTGGATGAATCTCCACAGGAGTCATTCCATCATGTGTGTGTGCTCAGTTGAATAAAGCATATTTATTGAGTGTACACCGGACATTTATTTTGACTTGATTTTCTCCGATAGCCTCAATACTGCTACGGTAGTGGTGGTACTAGTTGCCGTGGAATCGGTTCTGATACGTAGCGACTCTGTATAGGCTGTCTGAGGCTGTCAATCTTTATGGGAGCAGAAAAACCTCATCTTTCTTCTGTGAAGCGGCTGGTAGTTTCCAACTGCTGACCTTGTGGTTAGTAGCTTAACTGGTAACCCATTATGCTACTAGAACTCCTTCAATACTTCTGTAGGTTTCTCTTGTATGAGAAGTCCCTTGGGTGGTGCAAACAGCTAACATTCAGCTGCTTGCCAAAAGATTGGAGTTTGGAGTCCACTCAGAGATACCTCAGAAAAAAAGACCTGTGACCTATTTCCATGAGACCAGCCATTGAAAACCCTTTGGAGCACAGTTGTACTCTGATACATCTGGGGACACTAAGAGTCAGAAACAGCTAGACAGTGATCACAGGTGCCAGTGACACTTTTGCCATTTAAGAAACAACCTATGATCTTGCTTATGAGCACAACAGACTCTGAACTGGACTCTGGCCACAACTCGATCTAACTTCAATCCAGACTCCTCCTAGTGGGCAGTGAGCATTCTAGAACACAAGTCACCTCTCCATTAAAAACCCATCCCTGCCTCCCCTATGACTGCCCAGGGCTATTAGGACCTGGTTTCAGTTTACCCTGATGCCTCAATCGTTTGATGATCACCCTATTTTGGGGTAAACTTTGGTAGGTAAACTTCGAGTCCCTCTTACCAAGGGATTGACGTCTTAGTTTTCACTATTTGTCTTAGTTTTCACTATTTTTATTCATTCATAACTGTTATCTGCAATTTAACATTTTCTTCATGAATGAAAACAACAAACACAGGAGTATTATCAGTACTTGTGACTCTGTCAGCAATGGAAATCATAAACATGTTTATATCGCATTACAGAAATTTTAGACCCATTGCTGAATTGTGTCATCTAATGTGTTAGTTACAAAAGCTATTTTATTACTATTATTCTTGTTAAGTGCCATCGAGTCAGTTCCGACTCATAGTGACCCTGTGTAGGGTTTCCGATGAGCAGCTGGTTGGGTTTGAACTGCCAACCTTGTGGTTTGCAGTCCAGTGCCAATCCTACAGCTCATTGAGCTGACAACTGAAACATCAAAGGTAGTGCAATCTCACCATCTGCTCTGCAGGAGAAAGATGAGGCTATCTGCTTCTATAAAGATTTACAATCATGGAAATTCTATGGACCAATTCTACTCTGTCCTATAGGATCTCAGGGAGCTGGAATTGATTCAATGGTGGTGAATTTGAGTGAGTTCCTTTATGATCGTATGTTTTATTTTATGAATTTTAGAGATTATTTTGACAAAGGGTTCAGACTCTTCACCAGATTGTCAAAGAGGTCCGTGATGAAAATATGAAAACTCCTGATTCAGTTCCTAAAACTAAACCATTCATTCTGTGTACCTACCCACCCCCACCTTTACCCTTATCTGTCTCACTGTCTCTCTCTTACACTTCTACAGGCCTTCACACTTGTTAGTCCTTCTTTTTAAATATTTTTCCTTCTACTTTAACAAAACCCTCTTTGGCAAATTGAAAGTATCTTTCATGTGCAATCATCAGTTTCTCTGGGAAATCTCATGTTATCTCAAAGTCTGGATAAGGCCCCTTCCTTTATGACCCTGCGCATCTTGTGCACCTAAAATCCAAATTGTGATTTCTTACTGAGTCGGGCTGCTAACCTCAACATCAGCAGTTCGAAACTACCAACCATTCTGTGAGAAAAAAGATGAGGCTTCCTGCTCCTGTAAAGATTTGCAGCCTCAGAAACCCTCTAAGGGTCCCTATGAGTTGGAACCAACTCCACAGCACACCACCACCACCATCATCAGGACAAGGGCCTAATCTGTGTTGTTCATTATACTAGCCTCATCGCATTGCAGTGTCTGACACTTGGTAGCTTCTCTACATTTTTGCCACATCAGTGAATGAATTATAATGCTTTCTTTCACTAAGCAAAGTATTTATTTACCCAGTTATGGTGTAGTGTTATAGGGTAAGCACTGGACTACTAACTGCAAGGTCAGCAGTTCAAACCTACCAGTTACTCCTCAGAAACCCTATGCAGGGTCTGATGAGTCAGAACCAACTCAAAGGCACATAGTAACAACAACATGGTCAAGAGAGCTCCCGCCATAAACTGACACCAACCTGAATTTCTGGTTTTCCATCCACATACACAGTGCTATTGTTAACCATTTCCACTATGGCAACTCCAAGATTGCACCGAATCCCAAAGGAAATGCAGAATCCTAGCCCACTCATGATGGCGATGATGTAACGCTTGGGGACACCGCAGCAGTGGCAATCACAGGGTGGGGGACTGGGCCTGGATGCCTGCACTGGTCTTCCTTCTTCATTCAGTTCAATATTATCTTCTCCCGCATTGCTTCCATCAATTTTTCTATATTGGAGAAAGAATGTACAGAGAAGAAAAACCAGGAGTTGGCCACATTACACACACCCACACACACACACACAAAAGAGTACCAAGAAAGAAAGAAAAACCCAAAGTAAGATGTAGGCTGTATTTTTTAAAGTAATTATTATTTGAATAAATCATGATGGCTAAATTTTCTGAATGTTCTATTGACCTTTTATAGGCATAAAATATTTAAAGCTCATACAATGCGTTATTATCATGCCCATTTTATAGTTGAGGAAATTAAGACACTTAAGACAGATTAAGCCCAGAGTCAGTGTCCTTAAAAATGCAATCTACCATTTCCTTCTGAAAAGGTATTGGTAGACTTCATGTACATTGCATGACCACTTAGCTCCTATGGTTGACTTTAATGTTTGTGTTTTCTGACATGACTCAGAAGACAGATCCAGTGATCTGCTTCTGAAAGGTCATGGCCTTGGAAACCCTCGGGAGGACAGTCCTAATGTGAATACACAGGGTCACCATGAGTCAGTGGCTTTGGTATCCAATCCAGTCTTGGAAGACATCAACCAACTCTTAGAGGGCACCAACCAACACAAGTACCCTCTGTGAGAAAGATATTGTCCTAGATACCCTGACAATGTCAAGAAGGGTGACAAGTAAGGGAGAAGTAGTAACCCAGGAGAAGACATCCCAAAGGAAGGAGGTCTGAGTTCCCAGAGGAGCAAAAGTAGCAGAACCTGTGTGGTCTGAGGCCATCCCTTATAGCCTGGGAGACAGGATGTTTGGGGGATGTGAGGTGGGAAATGAGGCACTGGGTCTCTGGCCTCTGCAAGTTTCCCTTACTCAAAGTGGAAGCTGAGTCACCAGACTTCATAGGACCAAGAACAAAGATGGATCAAATATCAGAAGGGCCTTCTAAGTTGATTGAGAATCTTTTGCACAACTTAGAGCAGTGGGCAGGACCTACTAATATCAGCCAAAATCTAATTTGTACCAGACTGGAGCTTCTGTATCACATTTTATTTGTTTTAGTAGTAGAAAAGGAACGGTACATTTCTTACATGGCCAAACTCAGAGAAGAAAGTTCAAAACCACCTCACCCTGTATGAAGGAACAAACCATGCTTCCTCCTATTCAAGATTTGATCGCTAGCTCAGTCACTTATGTATTAGCTTTGTAGCTTTGGGTTTCCTGAATCTCACATTTCCTCATATGTAAAGTAAGTCTAATATTTAACTTATAGAACTGTTGTAATTAAATGAGCTTACAAAGAGTAAAACGCTACCACAATAAATAAGAAGGCATTGATTAAATGCTAGGGCCTACACCATCCCTAGTGTTTTCTTAGCATCTTGAACATTCTTTTATTAGAGTATGTCATACCAAATTATAATTACTTATTTTCCACAGCAGAGTAGGTGTTGGATAAACATTTGTTGATTTGAGTACTTGAATGAATGAAAGTCTCCCCAGTAAAATGTGAGCATATTGAGGGCAAGTCCCATTCCTAATTCATCTTTACTCCAGTGGCCAGCTTAATCATTTACCTGAATGGAATTCATGGAGCAATTCCAGACATCACTCCTGCAAAAATAGTGTGGGGGGCAGCATCTAACCTCCTCAAACTTCACAAGGATGAGGAGGAGACTAACCATCAGCATCAAGGTTGATTCCTATGAGGCAGAAGTCAGACATGCCTTCACCTTCCAACCTCTTTACCAATCTGATAAGAACAGTCCTTCCCACAGCACTCTACTTCTCTACTGACTTCAATAATTAGTTCAATGGCCACACAGAACTCTCAGACAATACTCACAATTAGATAGTTTACTAGAGAAGTAACAATACAATCCAGGATCAGAGATGACTTGGAATACAGTTCTTCAATCAGGACAGCCTCTTCTCAGGCACACCTCTCTCTGGCCCTCAGCTTGTCTTAGCTGGAGTCCCATTGGCCACTGCCCTGCTCAGGGAGTTGTGGCAAAGCTCATTTAACTCTGCCAATACGTGTTCAAAGACACACCACTACTCCAGAAACCCTCCTGCTCAAGGGCACTGTGGTACCTTGAGTTTACTTGATATGGCTATTCTTTCCAATGTCTTCCTAATACCTACCAAGCGATTGGGTGGGACCATGCAAATAAAGTGTGCAAAACATTAAGGCTGGGACTGGTTAGTTTTGCCATCCAACTAGGTTAAAGGGAGCCATCTCAGAAGCAGGAACAGGTGATCCCAGGACCATCAAAAAGGAAGAATATGAGTGGAGTGTGAGATCCCTACTTAGAACAGAAGTGACAGCAGAGAGTGTGACATGAGAGACAGAGCAGCTGTGGGCTCTAGGCCCATGGGCTAAGTAAAGTTGAGTGCCTACAGGTTGGAGACTGGCTTGCAGAACGTGCCCTTTGGGCATTCACGGACTGACTAAAAGAGGTTTGTAACATTTGCCTGAGTAAGACAGAGGCCAAAGGGCCACATGGATGAGAAGCTGAAGACGAGAATGAGAAGCTGAAGACGAGAATGACAAGAGGCATTCTTGATTGGAAAATTGCTGCATCCTGAATCGGCTCTGATCCTGAATTGAACACTGTCCACTTCCCTAACAAGTCTCATAGTCGGAAGGATTGTTATGAGTTTGTGCGACCATTGCAATGGATTGTGGGACCCAGATATGAAGCCAAGAGTGCAGTGGGAGGGATGGCTGGTGTCCGAATAGGGTAAAGAAGGCTGTAGGATGGAGACATGTCTGACCACTTCCTAAGAATTGGCCTTGCTCTGATTTTGAGTTGGATTCTCTTTCCCTCTCGCCAGTCAGAGGAAGTCAGACATGGTCCCCTCCAGGTTTTTGCAGTTGCTCCCTGGGATGGGAAGTCCACCGCTCTGTCTTCTATCCTGATTCTGCCACCATTTTCTGCCTCTGCGTCTCACCATCTATCATCATCTCTGGTGTCACTGCACTCTGTCTCCTGGGTCAAGGAAATTCGGCACAGGGGTCTCAAATCTAAAGAATATGCTCCACTCCTGGGTCTTCTTTCTCCATAGTAGTGAGATTCCTCCCCTTCTCCATGTCCAGGATGGCTCATTCAAAGCCTAGAAGGATGGCCAAACTGACCAATCCCCACGTTAGGGTTCCATACATCAAGTGTGGTATGGCGCTAAAGGATAATCACTAGACTGATAACTGCAAGGTCAGAGGTTCAAATCTACCAGCCACTCCTCAGAAATCCTACACAGGGTCACTATGAATCATAACTGACTCAACGGTACTTAACAACAATAACCATTCTCAAAAGGGTGCCATGTACTTTACTTGCATTATTAACAAGTTATCCAATTCCTTTGTTGGGCCATAAACACCTCACATTTGTATAGTCCTGGTGAGGCATTGTAGGATAAGTACTGGATTACTAACCTTAAGGTTGACCATTCAAACCTGCTTCTTGAAACCCTATACGGGATCGCTATGAGCTGAAACGGACTCAGTAGCACTTACCAACAACAACACACACATATATAAAATCCCAACACAACATAATCCTGAACAGGGATAAATAGTTCCTTGTTATTGGCTGCCTTCGTGTCAGCCACTTGATGTGGTGACTCCACGCACAATTGAATGAAATGCTGCTGAGTCTTTTGGCATCCCCATGATAGGACTGTTGTGATCCAGAGAGTTTTTGTTGGCTGTTTGGCAGTAAATCACTAGGCCTTTCTTCCTGGGCCATTTTAGCCTGGAAGATCCATTGAAACACGTTCAGCATCATTGCAATTTGTTCACTGACATATGGGTGGTGGTTGCCTATGAGGTGTACTCGCTGGGAGTTAAACCCAAATCGCTAAGAATTCTAAGTTCTCCAAGTAGATCTTGATTGAAAGCAGAGAATACCAAAAAGATGTTTACTTGTGTTTTATTGACTCTGAAAAGGCATTTGAGTGTGTGAATCATAACAAATTATGGATAACTTTGTGAAGAATAGGAATTCCAGAATACTTACTTGTGCTCATGTGGAACCTGTCCATAGACCAAGGGGCAGCGATTCAAATAGAACAAGAAAATACTGCATGGTTTAAAATCATGAAAGGTGTGTATGAGGGTTTCATTCTTATACCATACTTGTTCAGCCTATACACATTTTTTGAGAAGCTGAGCAGATATATTAAGAAGGAAACAGCATCAGGATCGGAGGAAGCGTCCTTAGCAATATGCAGATGACACAGACCTTGCATGCTAAAAGTGAAGAGGACTTGAAAGAAGTACTGATGAAGATCAGGACTACAACCATCAGGATCTATTACACCTCAACATAAAGAAAACAAAAGTCCTCAGAGCTGGTCCAACAAGCAATAAAATAATAAACAAAAGATTGAAACTGTCAAGGATTTCATTTTATTTAGATCTACAATCTACACCCCTGGAAGCAACAGTCAAGAAATGAAATGACTTATTACACTGGACAAATGACTTATTTTAAAGATAAGTCTTACTTTAAAATAAGACCAATGAAAAATTGATGCATTTGAATTATGAGGTTATCCTGGGCTGTCAGAAGAATGAACAAATTTGTCTTAGAAGAAGTACAACCAGAATTTTCCTTAAAAGCAAGGATGACAAGATTTCATCTCTTAAACTTTGGACATTTTATTAGGAGGAACCAGTCCCTGGAGAAGGACATCATGCTTGGCAGAGTGTAGACAAAGAAAAAGAGGAGTAATTTCAACAAAACAAACTGACAGTGGTTGCAAAAAAAAAAAATGGGCTCAAACACAGCAGTAATGGTGAGGGTGGTACAGGACTAGCAGTGTTTCATTCTGTTGTAGAGAGTCACTGAGTCAGAATTAACTTGATGTCATTTGAATTGTTTTGATGTCATTTGCCAGCAACAACAGCACCATCAATGTCCATGTGTTAGAGAGAAAGTCAGGGGTAAATGAAATTCTGGTCTAGTTGGTCTCGCAGTGGATCCATGGACCCACCCAGTGGTCATTCCATTAGGTCCCACATTATAACTGGAATGTGC